TAGTTCATATTATTCAGTTGGTAAGATAGGTTATATAGCTTTAGTAACGGGGCGTTTCACGGTTTTAGCCAAAATGCTACAGAAGATATGACTGATGAGACATTTATCGTTTCCGAAACCCCGTAGAGTGAAGGTGCCCTCCGGAAAAAGATAGGTATACCCCCATTAAATAATAATGTTTAACTTTAGGCATGATCATAATGTTACAGTCAGAATAAAAGCCGAAATCGTGAGTTTTTATGATCTTAAAGGCTATGTTGATTTGAAAGCTGTTTCACTAGATTCAACTGCACCAGGAAACTTGGTGAACGACAGACAGATAAACTGGAGAAAACACTTTCTTCGTGCCGTCAGTTATGCACCGACTGCCTAGGACAGTGATCGGCCTGGGTATTAAAGTCACCAAATTTCAGCCTCGGTTCGCGTCTCAAAGCAGTGAAAAACAATTCGTGTCGCGTTCCACCCACGCTGTGACGCCTACAAGACAAGCATTTACACGGATTTTATTCGGTGAACAAAAAGTCTTGCAAGCCCACGCGTCAGATGCATCGTTTGCGGTAAGACAAGGTTGATCCTGACATAGTGTCATTCAGATTGTTGGTCTTCTGTAAATATGTTCCTGAACGTCTCACTGGATACTGAGCTACAGTTTCTCGAGCTTCAGCTGAAAACTTCTCCAGCATAGTAAGGGCCACACGTTGAGAATCTGAAAAAATAAATCTGTTGATCGATGTGGCACGTAACAAAGCTCGTAAGTGGTTTCATTTTTATGCAGATTCACTAGGAGCCCAATCATATTTATAGAGGGAGTACGAAAGGCCACAAGATCACCTACAACCTGGAGATAAAAGCGCAAGGAAGTCAGCCACATCTCGACGTTTTACGGGAAGTTACTCCAGTCCGATCACAATCTTTATGAGGCGAAATCGCGTTCCACAACCTTCAAAAACCTTCACCATCTGCCGTACCTATAGTTGACCGAATTTAACCAACAGTTCTGAGCTTCCATTTGCTTAGGATTGGTTTCTGTATTTAATATTTCAATTACCAGTCCACGATTTGCGATTTCAAAAACTATTCATATTGCTTTTCAACTCCGTCAGTAAGCGGTGACTGTTACAATTAAATAGTCCGGGATGGTGCAAAAGAGCTTTTGAGGAAACATCACCTACGGATGTAAGTTGTGCACAATTTATGTCGATGTGTGTCACTTACGAGCTTCTTAGAATGCTAAGCGTTAAATTCACACTATGATGGCACTTCGTTTCAGTATTATATGCGAATGAGAACGAATGAACTTGGATATCGTGGTGCTAAGCATCAAGGCCGCTTCTTGATGTAAAAAAAATGCACGCATCCCTATTTGCCTGAGCAGACGGAATAATGGCAATCAAAAAGTTATGTACGGACGTGGGCACTCTGCAGATTTTATCTCAGTGAACGCATCGTGTGCTGCAGCAAATTCATTAACTCATTCTGGTCAAAAAATCACCTGTGGCGCACTTCCGTTTTAACCAAGTCACAGTTTTTGGTGATTCGGAGTACCATATTTTTGTGTTTACTCCTAATTTGAGGCATAAAGTGGACTTGAAAAATCATTCACCTAAACCAATGACGTAAACTTATAGGTCTCAGTAGAGCGCACCCAGCATGCGCTTAAAAAGCGGTAAACTCTAAAACACCATATTTTTGGAGAAATCGGGTACCGATTGGCAAAATAAAGTGGATTCATATGACTATTTCGTAAGAATATGGAAACGTGAGTCACAAAAATATATATATATGAAAGTGATATATATATATATATATGAGTTATTTATACGAAGCATGCCAAGGGAGTCTCAAATAGCCCCATATACCACTGATGTGAATTAACAACTCAAGTTTCACGGTTATGTTAACACCAGGAATAGAACACACGGCTTAATATGTACTTCAGTCACTCAAGGCTCAAGTTAGCACACTTCAATTGACCCATGTTAATTCCTTCAACAAAAGACGCAGAGAAGCCGAAATTTTCCGTTTTGGTATCTGGCATACACAAGTTTGTTCTCTGTTGGCACCGATGCTAAAAATAATGGCCTCCAACTGCATCAACATTGAGTGAACGTGTTTTATGCTGCACACGACTGCTAAAAGAGACACTGTGTTGTGTCGAGACAGAGTTATTTATCGAAGCATGCCAAGGGAGTCTCAAATAGCCCCATATACCACTGATGTGAATTAACAACTCAAGTTTCACGGTTATGTTAACACCAGGAATAGAACACACGGCTTAATATGTACTTCAGTCACTCAAGGCTCAAGTTAGCACACTTCAATTGACCCATGTTAATTCCTTCAACAAAAGACGCAGAGAAGCCGAAATTTTCCGTTTTGGTATCTGGCATACACAAGTTTGTTCTCTGTTGGCACCGATGCTAAAAATAATGGCCTCCAACTGCATCAACATTGAGTGAACGTGTTTTATGCTGCACACGACTGCTAAAAGAGACACTGTGTTGTGTCGAGACAGCTCAGACTTAACGTATATGCAGGTGGCGACAGCTGCGATCTGTAATAGATCGTGTGTCTTCCAAAAACAGACGAGTGCGGCGCAAAAGCGTAAGCTAAAATAGCTAGCATGGGACTGTGTATTCATGAAGCAAAAAAACATGCTTCGGACCTCAAGGTCAAGCCACGTCCATGCGCGTGGCATCTCGAGGCGCGCCCACTAGTTTAGGCAACCACCAGTGATGTCAGCATATTAGTTGATCTGATTTGCGTGGCCCGTTTGTTGCATTGCTCGTGTGCTCATTGGACCCCGCCCTTTTTTAGTGACATGCGTCAACTTTTCGGCCATGAATTTGCTCGCTTTTGAGCAGAACATGGGTCGACTTTTACCATAAATTATGTGGTGGCAAACCAGACACTCAGCCAATCACCTTCATCCAGTCTGTAAATGAAGGGCTCACTTAATAGAAGGGGACCTTTAAAAGGCAAAACCACCCCGACTTTGGCTATTCCCCCCCGCTTAACTCGTTCGAATCGACGGATCCGTGCTTCTTCCAAGTCTTCGTCTTGGGTCACCCACTTGAACTATGATCATCAATGAGGTAAATCACCGTAAAAACTGTGCCTTGTATGTTATTCCTGACCATTCTAAAGCAAAACATTTTGGAAAGCATTTGTTCCTAACACTATATTATACCCTTCTTCTAGCACCCAAGAGGTATTCTCTTTACACTAGTTTGCCGGTCAGAAACTCTCGAACGCGGACGCTTACATGAAATGGTATGTAAATGTGGCATCGAAGCAGGCACCTAGATGATATACAAACCCACAGAAATTAATACCACTGGCAGAGCATTCTTCAGCAGTGAACTTCAAATGTTGCTACATACGTGCTACACATACTTGTTTATGTTCTAAGGTGAGGCGTTCTTACCAAACACCGGCTGGACGCTATGGGCAGGAGGCACGGCTATGAGGATTATTATTCATTTTTATCTTTTGAAACTTCTCTAGAGACATCCTCATTTTAGCGAGACTAAAAATAAACACGCTTGTCCAATAAGTCTCTAGAAGACTACAAGTGTTACAGCCACCCAAAAGTGATATTAATACACTTCAAGGGAAACCTTTTTTGAAAGAACTAGAATCCCATATCCAAACTGTGTCGTTTTGTTTATTCTCTTAGGGAATGTTGGATGTGTTTTTTGTGATGATATGAACCTTGATACAGTATTGGATTCGTATTTAGCCTCCAGCGCCTGACTCACATTTTGCTGGCTACCGCTATGGGGTTTTTTAGCCTGTCCCTCGTGATTTGTAGTGTGCTAAGGTGGGAATGTTTCAGTTTTCGATCCTGAAGCTTATAAGCCGAACAAGTAAGGTCAATTTTTTGAAACTTCATAGACGAACAGCAAACAATAAAAAATAGTGGACAGCATTGCCAAGCCTTCCGATCACAGCTTCAAGCCCGTGCTTGGCAAGGTCGCCTCACCTTGCGCAAAACAACCAGTACGATCCTGGCACGTTTGTAATGACGTTTGAAATTTGGATCGAAAAATGTTCAACAAACGATTAAGACTGTACGTATTTTGTATCCCAGAAACAACCATAATCTGCATTACCCTAACCAGAACTGTTTAGTTGATCTCCGTTGTGAATTTTCAATTCAATCCACACTTCCAGTGAGGTGTTCTCGGATCAGGCTTCTGACGTGTTTGTCCAGAGATTGGCGGTTATCCCGTTTTCACCCTAATGGCAGTTGATAAGTCAGAAAATGAAAGCATGATGGGTGAAAATCCAGCATTTGTGCGAGCAGTGATTATTAGAACGATGTTGAACGTCACTAGCGGATGCACTATAAACGCAACATATCGCCACGAAGACCGAGGGAAAGTTGAAAAATTTGAAGAATCCATTGGGCTGAGCACATTTATCAATAATCAAACGTACACGAAGCGCGGATGCTCACTACGGCTTTGTCTGATGAGACAGGGGAGTCATCGACTAGTCACCTCGTACTTTCTACAACACAATCATTAGATCTCCAAGTTTTTATACGATCGACTTCCAATAAACCGACTGCTAACAGAGGAGGAGTTTTCACCCGCGGTTGATTAGGTATCGCGGTTTCCTAGCCGCATATTTGTGATGTGCGCCAGCTAGACTCGTTACGCCGTCCGAACTAATCAAGATACATTACAACTGGCCAGTTGCTCTGGCATCGCGGACCCTCCATTCGTGTTTTTCACCACCTGCAGTGGAGAACTCTGCTCCCAGTAAACAGGGGTTGATTACTTCCCGAGTGATATTAAGCAATGTACCAGAAAACCTGACCTGCTGGCATAAATCATTATCAACAATCTTAGGTTCTTCCAACCTAGTACCCGTTGCCCGAATATAGTACATGTGTCTATGGCAACGAAAATTCGGATTAGCCTCTTTCGAGGTCAGAAAGCACGGGATCCGGCATCCGTCTTTTCAAGCATAAGATACGAGTTAAAACACACCGCGTATTTTGCGTCCATATGTACAATGTAGGCTCCAGCTAGTTCCATTGAATAATATAGGTGCATACATACCTTAAAATTTCCTCCATTCTAATTAATTCATGTTTCTTTGCGATTCGCGATATCTTAGTTCATTATGCACCGGATTCCATATCCAGGTTACTGAGGACATTGAACATTCGCTCACCTAAAAGAACCAGCCATGCAGGAAACGTTCACGTAACCCCAATAAACATTGACTTTCCAGTCTATAAAGGGTAGCCTTAAAGTAATCGCGGCCTTCGTGAACTCGATTCTATGCAGCGAATACCGACGTGGAAATCGTTCGAACAAATAGAACTCCATGGCCGCACTTAGCTGCAAAACCTGTGTGAGTGGAATTCAATGGTTCACGCCAAAATATAACAATTCGTTGCGCATGTGAGCAAACAAAAATGACCTAAATCCACGTTCACGTTTTCGCAACTCACCAATTTTCATTGTTTACTGAAACAGTCATGCCACTGGCAGAAAACTTCTATTGGAATGATGTCCTAGCGCTACTGAAACGCCGAGGGGCCAAGTGAGGCACTAAAGTGAGGACAGGTATTCCGTACTCAATTGCCTGCATATTTTAGTCCGTCAGATTCACGTAGTGGCACTTGAAATTCAATTCCATTGTGCGAATACAGGGCACCCGAACAAACAGTGTTTCAATACTGTATTATAGGGTGTATGTCATTTTGATTGATTCATATGTAAGTATTGTTGATGTACAACCTTGCCTACTAGGCTTTGACTCATTAGTTTTGTTTCTGTTTTCCATCCACAGAAATTGTCGTGAACACCTGTATTCGGGGAATCACTGTCCACTGGTGCTTCCATAGCGTGAATATTACATAATTGGCGACCACGCCAGGATGGTTACCACAAACTAGTAAAACTACCACAGAGATCCTGGCTCTACATATGTGCATACAGGCCTCAGAGCTAGCAAGTTGCTCACTCACACACGGTAGACGCAGTCCCAGATACAGCAACCTCTGTACACGCTCACCAGCCTCACGCATTACACCAGAAGCACCGGCCGGTTCACGAAGGCCATGGTACAACGGGGACGGTGTTTTTCAAAAACGAGCCCAGTGTAGTATGCGGCGTTTTGTACCTTTACTTTACTTCCATTATAACATCACGTATTTCATCAATTGCATAATCGTTTTTTGTTCGAATACGAAAAACTACAAAAACACGCACTTGTACAATTTCACATAATACAAGCGTGGTCACGTGCTTTGACTCTCTCTTGATTGCGCTCGCGCTTGCAGCGGTCTTTCGCGAGTCTCATCTACTAACTCTGGTACCAAAACATTTCAGACATCTTCGGAATCTATTATATGTGGGAACTGTTCAGAAGAAGGCCTCTGGACCAACATAATTGGGTTATTGTTTATTCGCTGAATTGGGCCAACGACGAACTATTTTAAAGAGAACAATTGTTAGCGAGCCTATTCCATCTGATCTCTTTATTTTTGTATGTCCAATCTAGTGTACTTATTTTTATTTTTTTTGCCACACACTCCTGATAAACTAACTTGTTGGGTAGCCAGACTACTACAAATTTGGTGAGCCCGAGTAATTCTAGATATTGTTTTGAAAGCTTTTTCTTTCAGGTCGTCGTAATTTTGTTTCTTTTGCCCGGTAATTATGGAAGCACACTGATTCAACGGATTTAGTCGAGAATGCGATTAGCATACGTTTACCAGACTACAATCCACGCAACCCAAGGGTGTGGTTTCACCAGGTTGAGGCCGTTTTTGCCACCCGACGCATCACTTCCCAAGTCACCCGGTTTTCCTATGTTGTCCAGCATCTTCCTTGTGATGTAGCAACAGAAGTTGAAGATCTGTTGGAAGATATTCCTCAGAAAAATCCGTATGACGCCCTTCGAACGGCCGTCATAAGTAGGATAGGAAAATCAGGAAACAAAATGCTACGGGATCTATTCACCAGTGTCAAACTTGGAGACAGATCGCCATCACAAATGCTTCGCCACATGCGCAGTCTCTTCTGCGGCCGTAAGATAGTGTTGGAAATCATGGCCCAACTATGACTCGACAAGTGTTGGAATGGCCCAACTATGACTCGACAAACTCTCACCCTCCATGTCCCACGTCATCAGCGCTTTCGTTGATGACCACAGCTTAGAGAGAGCGGCCCAAATGGCATATAAGATACACGAAACATACCCCAGTTGCCCCGTAAACCCCGTCTCCTGCC